TCTCCCTCTCCCTCTCTCTCTCTTGCTCTCACGCGTGCGGAGGCGTGCATTAGCGGCGCGTCCAGGGGGGGTGGGGGGCATGCGCACTAGTCAAGGTCGGAGGAGGGAGCAAGAGGAGGAGGAGGAGGAGGAGGAGGAGGAGGATTTCTCCTCACCCCCTCTCCTCCCACTGCTCTCGTGCTCCTTCTGCCCTCCTCCCTGAGATATTTGGCGGCGTGGGTGATGTCGGCAACAAGGAGTGGGGTCGTGGAGGAAAGCGGCGCCTCTCGCATGGACACGCGCTGCAGGACCGAGGAGGATCCAAGCACGAAGTCCCAGTCTCTGGGCGGCGTTTGGGGGGCCCCTTTGGGGGGGGGGCCTGCAGGAGTCTCCAGGTCGCCACGGCGGGGCCCACCTCGAGTCCTTCGTCCGATGAAGATGCTGCATCTGCGCCACGAGGACTCCCCCCCCCCAGACCGCACGTGGGCGACAGCTGGGCCAACCAAGCCTGGGCGGCCTCGGGTGGCCGGGTGACGGTAAGTTCCCTCCGGCCCGCGGGCCGCAGACTGTGACCACCCGGGCCGTGGGGGGGGGGGGGGGGGCGAGCGAGCTTCTGCCAGGCCGCTCCCGGCCGCCGTCGCGCTGTCAGGCCACGACGTAGAGTTCAGTCGGGCATTTCCCTCCACAGGAGGAAGAACTTACTGGCCAAAATTTGTAAAGAGAAATAGTGTGAGGGGGCGAGTGTTTCGTGCTCTTCTGACTCTGTGTGAACACGTGTTGGCTCTTCCCACTCGTGCCTCCAGAATCCGCCTCTGGGAGGACATGCCCGACCGAAACGCAGGGAAGGGAGGAGGCAAGAGGAAGAGGAGGAGGAAGGGAGGAGGAAGAAGGGAGGAGGAGGAGGAGGAGGAGGAGGAGGAGGAGGAGGAGGAGGAGGGAGGAGGAGGAGGAGGAGGAAGGAGGAGGAGGAGGAGCAGAGGAGGAGGAGGAGGAGGAGGCGCGCCGCGGGCGTTCTGGCCCCTGGCGCGCCCCCAGAGACGCCCGAGGGCCGACGTCTGGGTTCGGAGCGGGGCCCGGTGGAGAGGCAGGCGGCCCCTGGGGGGGGAACAGGACCGCTCCAGGGAAGGAGGAGGAGGAGGATGAGGAGGAGGGAGGAGGAGAGGAGGAGGGGGAGAGGAGGAGGAGGAGGAGGAGGAGGAGGAGGAGGTGGAGAAACGGTCCTCCTCTTCCTCCTCCTCCTCCTCCTCCTCCTCCTCCTCTCTTCCCCCCCTCCTCCTCCCAGGCAGCCCAGGCAGGGGAGCCCAGGCGGGGGAGCTGCACCCCAAGCCCACCACAGCCGCCATGCATTGGAAAGCGAAGGGTCGGCAGATCGGTTCTTGCGCAGGCTCCCCGTCTCTTCGCTTCTCCTCCTCCTCCTCCTCCTCCTCCTTCTCCTCCTCCTCCTCCTCCTTCCCTCCTCCCCGTACCCATGCCTCGAGTCCATGGATATCTGATTACTCTCGAGAACTTTCTGTTGGCGTTTCGCTCTGCTTGTTCTGGTCCCTGGCGCGCTGTGGAGCGACACGCTATCAACGTCGCGGTCCTGAGGCGTCAACGTCCCGAGCCTTTCTGACCCTCCCGCCCCGCAGAGCGGAGCGACACGCGATCCGCTTGCCAGGCACAGCGTGTCACCGGGGCCGTTGGGGCGATACGCTACACAAATGTTCCCGACTGTAAGTAATGTTGGCGTCACGTCAGATTTCCAACGGAAGTTCGGGGCAAGGCGCAATCAAGGAGTTGCCCTAGGTTGAATGGTTCACGCGGCGTTATAAACCAGAGTCCACGTCGTCACAGCAGGAACGTGCTGTCTCCTTGCAGCCTCGACTCCTCGGCCTGATCCTCAAGCGATAGTTGGCGCCCAGGGGTCCTGCATGGGCGCCCGAGGGTACTGCATAATGAATACGCCTTGCACCCATAGGGTGATAGTTTGACGGCGCTCTCGAGGGACAACGTTTCAGAACACCTCGGATGGGTGCGCCTTCTGCCAGACATTGGATGTCATCTCACCTCGAAGTCCGGGGAAGGGGTTCGACAGTTGGGGCGGTCGTGTCCGGAGGCTTGGAGACTCTGCGGCGGGGATCAGACACGGAATCAGATTGGCTATAACGTGTTCGCCGCCATCGATGTGCAGTGCGCGTGTGGTGCAGCCCAAAAAATTGCGCAGGGTGCAAGATTTGTTCGATGAAATAGATGTGGGCAGTGTATATGATGCTATACTTATGTGGTGCACTGCGTGGGATGCAAATACATATATATATATATATGTGTGTGCTGTGCAAGCTATGCTGTGCAATAGATGTGGTGCAATCTAAGCGTGCATCAGGAAACGCGAGCCAGCGCACGGGGTGCCCGTCAGCCGAAACCCAGAAACGCCAACCAAATGCTTAAAAGAAGGGCACTGCAGGCATTGTTTGGGGCGGGGTGTGGGTGTGGGGGTGGGGGGGGGGCACAAAACTTGGTTTTGCGATGGACCCACCCAACCCTTGGCAGCTTCGTCGGACGATGGCGATGACGCACGCATCGCACGTCCACATCGCAACAGAAGTGCGAATGCGGCGGAGGAGGGGGGGAGGGGGAGGAGGAGAAGGGGGAGGAGGAGGAGGAGAAGGAGGAGGAGGAGGAGGATTTCGATACTGAGTAGGAGGAAGGGGAAATAGTTGTGCGAGAGACAGAACACCCACCCAGACAAGTCAAGTCGATCGAGGAAATCTGCGCCAGCTCACTCGTCACTGACATTCGAGTGTGCCGGTGCAGTCCCCAATATGTCTTTTAATCGACGTGTGCTTCACGGGATACATCTGGTTGTTTCTGGCCGTGGGTTAGACATTCCATCGGGGTGCGTTCGGAATGCGATGCCGCTCACCCGTAGAGTGCTTTCAGCAGCTGTTTTTCAGGCAGGTCTAGGATCAGGATAAGTCGTTCCAGCGCGTTCCGGAACGCTCTCAGAGCGTTTTGGAACGCTTGAGGAGGGCCGCGGCGCCCGATACATCATCCAGACCCGCTCCAGATTCATCTTCGTCCAAAGTTATCCTCATCCTGATTTCGTCGTGCTTCACTGAATGTCATGTTGCTGAAGGGGGTTCTGTCAATCCCCCCATTGAACCCCAGTGCGAAGACAGCCCACCAAGAAGCAAGAAGCAACTACACATAATCACCCAGAGCGCCAATACGCACGCAAACGAACTGAAACGTGGAGCCGAAAGGACAGAGACGGAAAGACGACACGATAGAGCAGAGAAGAGCGAAACGGAAGCGGTCCTGGAGACCAGAAGGTACAAGTTTTTGAATATAAGCACGGAAGTGGCAGAAACGAAGAGCGGAGACAAAAGGGGTGCCGAGGGGCGAGGGGGCAATTCGCCCACCAGACTTACCCGAGTCGAAAACCAATCAATCGGGCAGAACCCATCTCAGTGGTTTCTATTTGGCTTGATCTGGCTCAGTGGCCCCTCCATCGGGCTTCATCGCCTTGTGGAGGACGATCAATGGAGAGGAAGCATGTTGCCAAATACGTTCCAGGTGTCTAAAACATGCCTGAAACATGTGTTACGCATGTAAAGGTAGGTTGAAAACATGTTTAGAACATGTCTCCTACATTTCAAACACATTTGTAAAATTCAATGATAGGACTGCTAGGGTGTCCATTGTCGTGACATCCACAATAATAGCCGTATGTCGGGCGTGTCCCCCTACAAAGGGATATTCGACGAAAAAATATATTATTATTATTATAAAAAAGGTCAAGAAAGTCCCCGTATTATTTTTGGATTATGTTGTTGCTTATGTTTGGTGCATTTCTTATTTTTCGTCGAAAATCCCCCTGTAGGGGGACAGGCCCGACTTAACCCTGAGCCAGTCCCCCCTCCTAACGTTAAGTCGGGCATGTCCCTTTGCAGGAGGAATACTCAGAAGTAGTCAAAAAACAATACGGTGACGATGTGTTCATCTGTTCCTAAACAGTTCTTGACTAATCTTGTTTGTCATCCAAAGTTCGCATGTAGGAGGACATGCTTGACCTAACCCTAGCGTTGCCCGAGGTCGTCGGGCCATAAAACTCTGCTCTCTCCTGCGGCCACTCGTGGCGATGCGGGGGGCACCCCCCAGAGCGCCCTCGGCAAGGCGCAGCCGCTGGAAGGCACCCTAAGAGGCTAGAAAACCTGCCGAGAGCCGACGAAAGCGCCCGAAAACCTCAAACCTCGAGACGGTCCCTCGCTGGTGATCGTTTCCTTATGCCCATCGGCGCGGGCCCTCGCACCTTCCCTCCCCCCACCCATGGAGTAGACCTTGGCTGTTTTTGGAGCTTGTTTCGAGCAGGTGGAGTCTCCCCCACAGAACGCACTGCTTCAAACCGTCGCACTGAACAGAGGGTCCTGAACCAGACCCACTCCCCCTCCCTTCCCCTCCGCCCAGTGTCGAAACGCCGAATCAGATACACGCCGGTCGTTGAAAGTAGGTATTTTTGGATTCCCAGATCCCAATTTGCTTCAAGCGCCTTCCTACTTCAAGAATCGACATGCTTTTGCTGTGTGTTGTTATTCTCTGGGGGGACCTGGACCCGATCCACTATATCCGCCTTCCTACTTCGTGCTTCTACCCATTTCTTCCGACCGACGTGTAACGTTGACCTGCCGCTCCCCCCAGCACTCCTCCCCCAGGTTTATGATGCTCCAACCTACTTTAGCCTTGACCACCAGAAAGAATTCCGAGCGCCAGAAAAAAGTACCGAAACTCAAGGGTTTTCACGTGTCGGCCCTGAGACACTCGCCCGACACTGTTTCGACACTCTTTTGACACTTGTTCGGGTGCTCGAACTTATTCCTGGGATGCGGTCCTCAAGTAGGATGGGAACAACATCTTGGCATCGCTCGGACGTGTGCATTTTTCCTTCGGCGAGGACCATTGAGGAGCATCCTTGATGATTTGGCGGGAAAGCCACGCACGACACCGAAAAAAGCACAGGGAATGGACGTCGGAGCGATGGCCAGACATAGCCTCAGGTGCTCCCCGTGGTGGCGCACCAGGCCGTGGCCTTCGTGAGCACGGCGGGCGAGGAGATCCCCGAGGGCGGGGTCGAGCTGCAGCAGGACTCCCTCGCGCGGCTGCAGGAGCCCTCGCGGCGCCCCGCGCGGCGCTCGCGCGCGCGCGGAGGGCCAGTCGCCGTCGCCGCCGCGGTCGTGCTCCTCCTACTCTTCCTCCTCCCTCCTCCCTCCCTCTCTTCCTCCTCCTCCTGCTCCTCCTCTTCATCATCCTCCTCTTCCTCCCCTTCCTCCTCCTCCTCCTCCTCCTCCTCCTCCTCCTCCTCCTTCTCCTCCTCCTCCTCCATCTCGTCTTCCTCCTCGTCGTCCTCTTCCTCCTCGTCCTCTCGCATCCTCCCTCCCTCCATCTCTAGGCGATGCTTAAGAAAACGTAAGTTGTCGGCCAGAGGCTCGATTATGCCGAATGGTTCAATGTAAGTCCTCAGATGTCGATAGAAATTCCCGGTGTTTATTCAAATTCTGAGACTACGAATGTCTTTACCCATGACTTATTAAGAATTTCGCAGGGTGTACACATGTTTCACTGTCTAATTGTTCGGAAGTTCTTTGATGTCTGGGGGGGGCAAGATCCTTTCATTTCTGATTGTTCGATCCTGGGCCTGTTCCTGGCCACCAAGGGGCCAGGAGCAATTAGAGACGAGCACGATTAGAATGGAACACGATCAGAAATGAACGACGTGTGGTGGTCGGTTCGACTTGCAGCACCTGCAACAGTTGCAAGGTGGTTGCAACCCACTTGCAGCGCGCCTGCGAGCGGATTGCAGGTCCGCCCAGTTGAGGACGAGGAGGAGGAGGGGGAGGAGGAGGAGGAGGAGGAGGATGAGGAGGAAGGTGAGGAAGAGGAGGGGGAGGAGGAGGAGGTGCAGGTAGCGAGCTCTGTCTGGGCAGCTGGGCGAACGTGCAATTCGCTTGCAGCTGCCTTGCAAGTGGGTTGCAACCACCTTGCAACTGTTGCAGAACGCTCCTCCTCCCTCCTCCTCCTCCTCCTCCTCCTCCTCCTCCTCCTCCTCCTCCTCCTCCTTCCCCTACTCCTTTCCCTCCTTCCCCTTCCCCCCTCCTTCCCCTCCTCCTACACCTCCTCCTCATCCTTCCCCTCCTCCTCCTCCCCTTGCGTTCACTGCAGAACTCCTCACCCTCGGAGAGAATAATCCTAGAACTCGCAACCATGGCCCCGTTTTCGCCGCCTCGGGGCCTCGCCGGAGGCCCTCGTCGGCTGGGTCGGATTCGCCTCGAGAGTCTGGCCAGAACGCCTTCGGGAGAGGTCCAGCGAGCAGCGCCTCACTTCTGACTCTTCCCCACCCTCCAGGAAGAAACAGAACTGTAACAAACATAAGTTGTCGGGATCGGCGCTTGGCCACCCCTGGCGGCGACTCTGGCGCCGCCGCCACTGGCGCTCTCTGCGAGCCCGGGAGCGGGGGATCCAGCGCCGATCCAAAAAGTCCGCGCGGAGCTCCGCGAGTTTACGGCCCAGAATTTTGGCTCGGCGTGCCGGTCTGGCCCACCACGCTTCGGCGCGACACGTTGTCCATTTCCCGGGTCCCCCAGCGTCAACGTCGTCCGAGTGGTTCCCAGCCTCCCGCCCCGCGGAACGGAGCGACACGCTGTCCACAAGCAGGGCATACCGTGCTGCTCGGCCGGCGTGACACGCTGAGCAAAAGTTTCCGACCGTATGTTTATGCAAGTGCTCGTTTGGTCTGGTTCTCAGGTTGATCAGCAGGTGAGCGATGCGAAAAAACGGGGTCCTCTGCGCCGACAGTGGCGCGTAAGTTGCCTGCGTAAGCTCGCGCGTAAGCGCCCTCGTCTCCAGTATAGCGTGCCGCGCTGGCGGCCCGCGTAAGCCGCCGCGTAAGGTAGCCGTGCCATCTCGCGTGAGAACCGTTTTTGATCGTCGCTCAGGTGAGGCCCTCAGGGTCGGACCGAACGGGGGATGAGGCCCTCCTCGGTCTGGCCCCTGGGCTTGGGTGCAGCCAGGGTGGCCCACGGCCACCCCCATACTTCGCCGAGGGCCGCCAGCGCATCTTTCTCCTCCTACTACTCCTTCTCCTCTTCCTCCTCATCCTCCTCCTCTACTCCAACTTCGCCTCCTCCTCATCTACCCTCCTCCTCCTCCTCCTCCTCCTCCTCCTCCTCCTCCTTCTCCCCCTCCTCCTCCTCCTCCTCCATCTTCCCCCATC